ATTTCGTTTATCGATTCTCTACGCTTCTCTTTCGCACGTATTTAAACACGGATCATCTTATTTATTAAGAATTATAAGTACACGAAATAGAGAACCGCGAGGAGGACTACGGCCACTCCTGCCAGCATCAAAGGCGACGTTCCTTGGTCCTGTTTATTCTCTGTATTATATTTCGCATTCCAGTGCTTAGGCTTCTTGTACGTCTTTTCTGCCTCGACCAGTTCGCCGACCAAGTAATTCTTCATTAATTCCAAAGCGTCTACCGAGTGGCCCACGTCGTCGAAATCCTCGGAACCATCCTTGCCGCCGTGATCCAATAGGATCTCCTCACCGCCAGGGTGCTCGTTCAGGAAGCTAGCGACATCGTACACCTTGTCGTGCAAGATTATCAACGTCTTTTCCTTGTTGTTGCTACTGGCAACCTCGCTCCTCGTGTATTGTTTGCTCATCCTTTTGACGGGGCTCCTGAAATTAGACGACAGTCTGTTTTCACTTTAAGGCACGACGACGTTCTTTGAATGTTAACGTTCTAATGAACAACCAAGTTCTTCAAGTAAATAGAAATTATTTCTGACTCTGGAAGTTGGAGAATTGAATAGCGAGTTAGGATTTACTCTGGCCCCGGGTCATTGCCAACTATTGATCTCTGCTGATAAATATTTATCGGTTTCAAGAACCGAGATAAGAAATTTGAATTCCTTCTGTTAAGCTAATAGGACGATACATTAAGTTGTTTACTTGGAATTCGTTGTACAAATTAGACTGTACAAACGTAGATTGTAAAATGAGTTTAGTTATTTGAATAGTTCAAATGAAAAATTAGTACTCTTTGTATGAATTCAATGGTACGAGTGTAAAGATATTAGAAATTAATTTAGTTATTTAAAAAATCAACCAAGTTGACTCGTGGCAAACATTGTACAATAAGAATCGCATATTTTAAATGAACAGTCACGTCATGTACGATCATTGGTGATTATTTATAGTTAACAATCGTGCTTAGAATGTATGAATCGGCTTTGTCACCGCGCGTGACACTCACATAATTGTATGTTCATTTTTATACAAAACGATGTAAATTTCTGTGATTTATCATAGAATCGAGTAGAAGTTTCAATCAGTAAATTTAATTTCTAATTGAATAACGTTTGATAGACGCATTTCTCTCTATCGTTAGTCAGCATGTCGTTCCTCTCCCGATAACGATTTTATCGTTACTCTCACATGCGACGTATCCACGTTCGCGTCTGTTGTTTGTCGACTCGGTCCGTTCTTGCCACGACGCTTACTTACTCGTAACACGATAAACGGCTCGCGAAAACGTTTCATTATGTAACGATCGATAGTTGCCATGGTGATAATGAGAATCACGTTGCCGATAACTGGGTTATAAGTACAATTTGCTGAATTTCTTCGTCAATGGAATTGACCGAATGAGAATGAAGAAATAGTAGTATACAGGGTGTCTCAGCTAAAGGAGGACACCTAAATTTATATATATAATATTTATATATTATAATTATACTATATAATATTTATATATTATAATTATAGTATAATTATAATATATCTAAATATTTTTTGTGCGATTAAAAATAAAGGAGATGTTTAGGTGGCTTCCTTAGCTGAGACACCCTGTATACGTTATATATTATACATGGCGAAGCTTCTTCTGCTCGGCCTATGTATTTTTACCGTGCAAACGAGTTTTAGTTTGCTTGAAAAACAATTTCTACGATGGCTGAAGTATATCTTTGGATGTAACAGGCGGAAGAACGTGTAGAAGGTCATGGAGATTACACAATCATTTCGTGTTAGACGATAATTGTATGCTTTCGATACAATGTGGCGTCTAGTATTTCTGTTCGTCGATACTGACTCGTAAAATTGTTAAACTAATGTTAACTGTAACGAGGGCGATTTAATCAGCCACGTGGCCGTGTGACATTGAAGTGGAATAGGAACGTTTTGGTCAGACACTGTCATAGAGGATATAATTCGCGTGTGTCATCAGTTATATTCACACTATCTCTAGTAAATAACGTATTACTGTTTCGATGTAACAGGCGAAAGAACATGTAGAAGGTCATGGAGATTACACGATCATTTCGCGTTCGATGATAATTCTATGCTTTCGATACGTATTTCTATTCGTCGATCCTGACTCGTAAAATTATTAAACAAATGTAAACTAGAGCGAGGGCAATTTAATCAGCCACGTGGCGGTATGACATTGAAGTGGAACAGGAACGTTTTGGTCAGACACTCTCAGAGAGGATATAGTTGGCCTGCGTCATCAGTTATATTCGCACTAACGTCAGTAAACAAACGGCCGTAGCTAGTTCACGATTGACGGTTCTCAACCCGAGGCTCGATCATTCAATTTCCTGAATAATTTCAATCGAGACCAAAGTCCACGTCGCAATAACTACGTATAACGCACTGATGTGCGACGAGTAAACTGGTAACCAAAGACGCATCGATCGGAAGCGGTTCTTCCAGGAATCGCACGTTCCACGAGACACGAACCACGATTACATTACATTATTCACTCGGTCGAAACTGTTCCTCAGACGGACGGAGCTGTGCGTCTACGTACCTTCTCGTCGAGTTCCGTTCTCTCGGTCTCGCGTACCACGACTGCCTCTTCGATACCCGGTTCGACTCCCCGTGGCTCTCCTTGCCTTAGGAATGTAAAAAAAAAAAGGGAAGGAACGATCCGCTCTGACGAGTTTGCTCGCGAGGCTGCACCGACACAAACACTGAAGCGAACCGGGTCAGCTTGTACCGGCTTTATCCTTGCCCCCTCTAGATGCTGCCACCACCACGGGTCTCTTATCATCTCCGTTCGACTCCCACTCGTCCACTCCTCTCTGCTCGGAGAGAACCGCGACTCATCGTTCGCCTGTCCACTTTTCTTTCAACGATTATTGCGTAAATTATATCCGAGTACGTCTGCTTTAACTTGAAGATTTCTTATTCAGATCAGCTTGAATGTAGGCCAGAAAGATCACAGGAAACCGTGTTCCTCTTCTGCTATTAGTTTTTAACGTTTGCGTCAAGGAATTAGAAACGTCGTTATGTTTTTATTTTATCGGATCTTTACTCATGCTAATTGTGTTAAAATTATTGGTTCTGGTGGGCTTTACGTAAGAAAAGTATTATGGAATAGTTCGTTGTTATTAATTATTGAGTTGATGCAATTTTTAAATGTTGATCGATTATATTTGACCTTTCTGAATTTTTGTTATTTTTCATTAAAGTTTCAGGGAGCCACGTGTTTGACATGCCTGATCTAATACATATCACATGACATATAATATACATAGATATTCAAAATAAATGTCTGAACTTGATACCGAATAAATTGGTTTGGTTCGTCGAGGAAAATATCAATAGTAATCACGTGTTCATGCTAATACCTTTTGAAAAACAGGTGTTATCGCATGTAATTCAGTATCAATCATGTCGTAACATCGATAGTCGTAACATCATGTCGAATCATTTCTCTGTTACAATAATACTAAATTTTAAATTTACATAAGTCAAGGAAATTATGTTCAGTCGTTTTTAAATCCAGCGATATTCGTTTGCTGTTCATGTCTCGAGTTTCA